ACCTGGAAGGGGAAGGGCCAGGGCTCCGACTGAGCGCTCGGATGGTGGAGCAGCTCTCCCAGTTCCAAGGAGACAGGAAGGTGTGTGTTGTGGGAGCAGAAATTGGCTGGCTGCAGGGCTGGGGAGAAGCTACAGGACCATTTCGGTTGAGTGACAGGTCTGCACAGGGAGGAGCTCCATGAGGTCAAGGTTGAAAGGCAGACCCCATGGAAATGCTGCAATGCGGTGGCACCTGGCTTTGCAGAACTCCTAGAAAACAGCCCATGAAGTAAAGTAAATGGGACCTAACAGTGGGAGCCCATAGACAGCCAAGGAAGTGAAGCCGCTTAGAGAGCACCTAGGACCCTATTCCCCAAGGGCCCACTGCTGATGGGAAGGAGGAGATCCCAGAACCTTTTAGATCTCTTTTACCAGAGAGAGAGAACAGGAACGAAGAGTTGCTGATGAAGGTGTGGAACTGAACAGACTAGGCCTAGTAGGAAGCTCCTGGCCCAGATGTCAGCCACTATAGGAAAGAGACCACAATCCTTGGACAAGCCAAACGGCGAGAGGGCTGGCTGCAATCCCAAGGTTTGCTTTTCCTCCCACCTGGGCCAGGAGGAGGGCTCACTGGAGGCACACAGGCTAGCCATTTCTGGCCAGGCTTTGGCTCTACCCTGCAGGGATGCCATGACACAGGGCACAAGGGGAAGAGGCTGAGCCCGCTCTTATTTTGGGCGGGTGGGGTCAAGATTAAAAAAAAAGTTTATTTTTTTATTGTGCTTTAATTGAAAGTTTACAATTCAAGTTAGTCTCTCATACAAAAATTTACACACACATTCTTATGTGACCCTAGTTGCTCTCCCTATACTGTGACAGCACACTCCTCCTTTCCACCCTGGATTTCCTGTGTCCATTCAACCAGCTCCTGACCCTCTCTGCCTTCTCATCTCCCCTCCGGACAGAAGCTGCCCATTTAGTCTCATGTATCTACTTGAGCTAAGAAGCACACTCCTCACGAGTATCATTTTATGTCCCATAGTCCAGTCTAATCTTTGTCTGAAGAGCTGGCCTCGGGAATGGTTTTAGTTTTGGGCTAACAATGAGTCTGGGGGCCATATTTTCCAGGATCCCTCCAGTCTCAATCAAACCATTAAGTCTGGTCTTTTTACTAGAATTTGAGTTCTGCACCTCACTTTTCTCCTGCTCTGTCAGGGACTCTCTGTTGTGTTCCCTGTCAGGGTGGTCACTGGTGGTAGCCGGGCACCATCTAGTTCTTCTGGTCTCAGTGAGCCCACTCTTGACCCGAGCATTAAAGGGGACAGTCTCCCAAAGACCAGGGAAAAGGTGGCAGAAGTTGTTTGTGACAGATCTCCAAGGGGAAGGCGACTCTTGCCCACATCAGAGTAGGCTGACCCAGACTAGTAGTGTTCCTAAAGACAGGGGCACAAAGAGAAACGACAGGGGAGACAATCCGGAAGCCGGGCTGCCTCACATGGCCCTAGGACTACAGTTGAGACTATTAAGCCATATGAAGCCCCCTCCGCACCCCTGTTGCTGAGGGCACGGGAGTGGAAGCCAGAAAGTGGTTCGCTGGGATAGGCTTGAGGAGGATTAACCAACGAATGGGGTACTCAGAAATGTTTTCATACAGTCACCCACTTCAGCCTAATTGTAATGTGCAAGAGGTATCTTCCCCCACAGAGAAGTTCAGGGTAATTTAAGGTTAGCTTCCCAGCAGAGACCATGCTTTACTGCCAATGCCTGGCATATACCAGATGTTCAACCAGTGCTGAATGACTGGAAAAATGGATGAACTCGCTCCAGATCACCCGGTGGTGCTGGAAGGAAGCTTCAGTCTCCTACCTCAAACCCGGTGCCCTTTGCAGCCCTCTCCATTCCCTTCCCTCCTCAGGATGCCCACTGGACGAGGGTGGCCGAAGGATTGTTGGGTGGGGAGGGGAGCTGGCTGACGGAGCCCACCTGGTGGACTGCGTTCAGCCGCTCGGCTCTGGCTGCTGTGACGGCTCAGAGTGGGCAAAAGCGCCCTACTTCCCTCCGGTGTATTTGGGGAAAAGCGCACTGAGCTCTCTCCAGTCTACCCTCGGCTTAGGGACGCGGAGGTCAACACGGACCTCAGCGTCCGGCTTCCCCGACGCTGCTCTCCTTCCCCCAGGTTCGTCCCGTTGCGCCCCCCAGGACCGCGCGCAGCCCCGACGGCCGCGCAGCGCCCTCTGGTGGCCGGCAGCGGACGCTCGGGCCGTCCCGCCCGCGACGCCGGAGTCCC